AATGTTCAGGAATCCTAGGCATGTTTCTACGTTCCATCATTCTACAGATATGAAAAATACATAATTTAAACATGTAAAAATTCACATAAGAAATCAAATCAAAATCATTCATTTTATCAATTCATAACACAAGAAAAGATATGAACCAATTTCATAAAACCTATGTTCTAACCCAATTAAATATGCATAATTATTTAATTTTATGTGTTTAATAAATTCTGGAATTTCCTAGGCATGTACAGAAACACGAATCAAAGGGAAAGAGATAGAAGAAAAACTTGCCTTAAACTTTCGGATCGAAAGTTAAACTTCTTCTTCCTTGATCTTCTCTCTACAGGGTTTTTCTCCTCATTCCTTCCTTTTCCTCCTTCCCTCTCTAACACTATCTCTCTAATATATATCACGTGAATATTTCTAACCCCCTTTTACAACCTATAGCTATATATTTATAGGCTAAATAAAATAACCCTAACCCTTTTCCCAATCCAAGTCAACTAAAAAAAATGAAAATAAAAATATTAAAAAGGTAAGTAAAATATGTTACGTATATAATTTATGTATATATTTATTAAATAAATAAATTATACACATTCCATTATTTATTAATGGATTATCCAATAATATTTAAGTTACCATAATATTATAAAGTAACTTAAAACATAACACGTATCAAATCTATGTATATTTTTATTATTTAAATAAACATATACATCAGATTAAATATTACTACCCAAATTACCATAAAAGTAATTAATAAATTACTTTATCTTATATATATATATTAAAAAGGTAAGTAAAATATGTTACGTATATAATTTATGTATATATTTATTAAATAAATAAATTATACACATTCCATTATTTATTAATGGATTATCCAATAATACTTAAGTTACCATAATATTATAAAGTAACTTAAAATATAACACGTATCAAATCTATATATATTTTTATTATTTAAATATAAAACATATACATCAGATTAAATATTACTACCCAAGTTACTATAAAATTAATTAATAAATTACTTTCCTTTTTATATATGTATATAATATATATCTATATATATATATATACATTATCCATGGGTAATAATCCATACACATCCAACCTCCTATCCAAGTAGTCCATAGGACCCAATTGGTTGGCCCATTACTACTAACCATAACTATAAAAGAAAAATAAAATAAAATAATAAAAGAAAAAAAAAACATTTAATTTACAATTAATCAAAACACTATTTAAGCACATAATCTAATTAAACAATTAACACATAGACAAATACAAATAATACATAGACACATAATCAAATAATCAAGTAATACCTAATTCAATTAAATACATAAGCAATTAGTCAAATAATCAATTAAACAATTAAAAAAATACAATAAAAATAAATAAATAAATACCGAGACTATCCTTTTAAAATTAGGGGTATTACAGGATTCCATGAGATGCAGCTCCGTGAAGATTCAGGCCGTCACAAATAAGGAATCATCATTTTTTAATATTCCAAGTAGTATTGGATATTTGCCAAAATATTATCTCTAATTCATAATACCCCACAAGTACCTTAATATTCTCACAAGAGAAATCTAATGATATATTTCCGGAATATATACTTGTGCAGTTGATTAAAGTATCAACTATGAAAATTATGTCTGCCTATCGTGTCATAAAGACCACTAATAATTCAGGAATTCAATTTGATTTATTGCTCTTCAATCTCAGAAAAATAAGAACGGAGACTACAACATATGAAAAGTTAGTAAACATTCTTAGAATCTTCTCAATATAGCTTGGCTGCGAAAGTACTAGATCGTGTTAAGATTTCAAAATTCTAAACTTTAGAATCACATTAGCCTCTCGAAAATCCTCTATGCCAAAAGTTCAAATAATGTTAGAGTCTCCTCATAATGAGTAAAAAGGGGTTTTAAAATCCTACAAGGAGATCCCAAAGAGTTTTGATAAAAACAGAAAACTAAAAAGTTACTAAAAGTTGAAATTCCGTATATTCAGGAAAACACTACTGGTTTTGTTTAGAATGCAACTAATTCTACTTTTATTAAGAGTTAATTCAATAACAGAGAATGTAATCGGTTGTGTTTTGAAGTGCAAACTATTCTGTTTTGGCCTAGAGTTACAATTTGACATGCATAATGTGCAATTGATTCAATTTGTTTGAAAGTGCAACCGGTTAAATTTTTACGGGGGCTAAAAATTGACATGTATTGACTCCTAAAAACTCAATACTTTTGTAACCAATTCGAAACATATAATACAATGTGTAATCACTCATACAATACTTATTCTAAATGATATTTTCACCAGATTTAACTGGACAAGACATTTGCGCTTTAATTTTGAAAGACAAAGACTAAAGATAAATAAAAATACAATTCGTTTTGACTTCAAAATTTGCAACATACAAATTTATATCTCAATTCGTTTTGGGCTTAAGCTTTGTTTGGGCCGCTTAACTCTTTGTTGGGCTAACCCATTCCTATTCCATTTTCATACTCGTACCAAAATGGATTAAAATATATGAATGGACTAAATATATTATAAAACTTTATAACACATCACCGACGACTATATGGATCCAACACGACTTTGATGTAGATCTATGTGGGCTTCTCTCTTCTTGCATGAAAACAAGGGGCTTATATGTACGAATAAATAGATATACAAGTATAAATAATAATTTTATGAAAATGTCTTTCCAAGTGGTCCTCGTCGGTGTTTTTGTTTTCTAAAGTTATTTGTCAGTTTGTTATGCCATTTATTCCTCTTTTATTCATCGGAATCTTAGGCCCCTAAACAATGAAACACGTTTGACGAGATTTTATGATATTTTATGGTTGCCGACTAATGATGTTTATTATGCATGTTACTTGGAATAAAAAGGAGAAAGTTGATATTTTTATAGTATTAACTAAATTGATAAAAATCTAAAATTAAAAAGTTACTAAAAGTTGAAATTTAATACATTCAGAAAAATGGGTTCTGTGTAGAATTTAACTGATTCTGTTTTTACTGGGAGATATTTCAATAACAGAGAGTGTAATAGGCTGTGTTTTGAATTACAAGCTGTTTTGTTTTGGTTGAGAGTTACAATTTGACATACATAATATGCAACTGATTCAGTTTAAAAATGCAACCGGATGAACTTTTACAGAGGCTAAAAATTGACATGTTTTGACTCCTAAAAATTCAATGTTTTTACCACCAATTCAAAACATATAAATACAATGTGTCCTTACTCACACAATACTTATTCTAAATGATATTTTTATTAGACTCAACATGACGACACGTTTGCACTTTAATTTCGAAAGAATGAGACTAAAAATAAATAAAAATACACTTCGGTTTGACTTCAAAATTTGCAACATACAAATTTATATATCACGCCATCCATTGATCTCACTTATTTCTCAAATAATGTGAACTACGAAATTAAATAATCGGTATGAGCCCATCTTTTGGGAACCATTTTTCCACAACGAGAAATATGTCCATAACTTTATGTTTGAATGAGAAATGTCTTGCACAACTTCAACTTTCCGTTGCATCTCCATGATTTTGTATCCCCAAAACGGATATTTACTCCATTTTTTTTTTATTAAATCCATAACAGTAAGTAAGCATGTACCATGTGCAATTAAATAATTAATATAATAGATATTATTTAAATTTCAATTCTTTTTGAAACTGCTATCAACTATCAAGTTACCAGTTTTCAGTAACAAAACCAATTTTTTTTCCTTGCTGACTCGAGGACGGTTTGATTTCTCTTTGGCGAATGTCAAATCTAATTGAAAAAGAAACAAATACTAAAAAGACATTATTTAACTAAAGATTTTTTTTCATTTCAGAACTTTTATTTTATTTTATACATTAATTTAAAATAAAAGAAATGATACATTAATAATTTCAGAAAGATGAAGTGCTTTTTGATAAATCTGAATATTAAGTATTGAAAATTTTAAGAGCAGAATTTTAAGTACTGAAATATTTAAGTGGTAAAAAAATAAATAAATATTTTTTAATTTTTTTAAAAAAAATTTATTTCATTTTAAGTGGTGATTAACGTTTTCAATTATATTCAAATTGTATTATTAAACATACTTAATTAAATAAGCACTGAATTTTCAAACACCACCTAAATCGATAAAAGCACTTAAAAAAATGAAAACTAATAAGTAGTATATTTTCATGAATTTCATGTATCATATACAATAAAAAATAAACAAGAATGATATTTTATTTAGCTTTTTCGTACCTTCTTAGAGATTGTGGTCATTCCACTTTTTCTTTTTTTCTTTTTTTTTTTTTTTTAAAAAAAATATTGCTGAAAGAGAGCCACATGGCATAGGAAAAGAGGATTAAAGTTGGAGATATTGTATGTCCAGTAATCAAATAGATAAAGAAAGAGAATAAATTATAGGCTCAAGGTTAGAAATTGTGGTAGTTTTAAAATTGGACAGTTTAATATAAACACAAAAAATTTAAATATAAAAATTGAGGGGGCGTTTTTAGAATTTTAAAGTTGCATGCATGTGTATAAAAGGAAATTATAAAAAAATTGAGAGCTAAGCCTGCTTTAGTTCCATTCTTGTGCGATCCTAAGAATGAAACTAAATTATTCTAGTTGCGCGAGCAAACCTCAAGAACGGAGTCATGTACACTTCAGTGGGGTCAATTGCCCTCTTTGAATTTTTTTTTTTTACCCTACTATTTTGTCATTCTAATACATATATATATTTACAAAATATTACCTTTGCCCTCTAAAATTATTTAAAAAATTCAACATTATCTCCTCTCACTTGAGTTTCTGGATCGGTCGAACCTCGTTTTGATAAAGAAATGCTAAGTGTACGTGCATTACATTCTTTTCAAAAATTACTATTTGAGTATTTATCAATTTTCCCATCACTCAAAGATCTCTATAAATAGGCCACCATACCCTTGCCTGCTGATCATTCCTACAGTCAACCATGGCCATCTCTTGTGTTTGGCTAATTTGTTTCCTCTCTCTCTTTCTTGGCCATGGTGTTCTTGATCAACTTGAAGCCTCCCACATTGTTTACACAAACGTTGAGACTCTTCAACCAGCTTCACCAAATCAAACTTACAGAACTTCTTATCATTTCCAACCTCCCAAGAACTGGATGAATGGTACTTTTTTCCTGTTAACTTCTCTTTAAATTCAAATACAAAATCCATTACCATATATATATATATATATAATGCCATTCTTGTACTTCTCTAGCTAACATAATGTATCTTTTTCTTGTTTCTGTATTTTGACTTGTTCTCGTCGCACAATGGATTAATGGCTGTCTTTAAACTCGCAGATCCTAATGGTGAGCTCCTTCATTTAGCTTGTCAATTTTAATCTCAATTCAGATTAGCAACTCTAAATGCATGAATATGCATGGTTTAAATAGTGGAATTATTAATTTGGACACAAATTAATATATTTAATTTCCAAGACAAGGAACGGCATATTTTAAGTACAAATATATTATTCAGTGATTTAATATAACACTTTATTTATTATTATTTTTTAAATATATGTTGCAGGACCCATGATTTATAAGGGCCTTTACCATTTTTTTTACCAATACAATCCAAATGGTGCAGCTTGGGGTAACATAGTATGGGCACATTCAACATCTGAGGATCTTGTCAATTGGACTCCCCATGATCCTGCCATCTACCCGTCCCAGCAAGCCGATATCAACGGTTGCTGGTCCGGCTCCGCCACTATCCTTCCCGGGGAAAAACCTGCATTTCTCTATACCGGAATAGACCCCGGGAGCCAACAAGTCCAAAACATAGCCGTGCCCAAAAACCTGTCTGACCCTTTCCTTAGGGAATGGGTCAAGTCACCTAAGAATCCACTAATGGCACCAACTAGCATGAACAAAATCAATGCAAGCTCATTCAGAGACCCAACCACTGCTTGGCTAGGCCCTGATGGGTGGTGGAGAGTGATCATTGGTAGCAAAATAGATCGGCAGGGACTAGCAATTCTATATAGGAGCAAGGATTTTATTTATTGGATTAAAGCTAATGACCCGCTTCATTCGGCTAATGGCACTGGAATGTGGGAGTGCCCTGATTTTTTTCCAGTTTCTACTACCAGTCAAAGTGGTCTGGACACATCTATGCTTGGTTTGGGCATCAAACATGTGCTTAAACTGAGCTTGGATGATACCAAACATGACTATTACACAGTTGGAACATATAACCTTGCCATGGATAGATATATCCCGGATAGTGGATCCGTGGATGGTGATTCAGGCTTAAGATATGATTATGGAAAGTTCTATGCTTCGAAAACATTTTACGACAGTGTCAAAAGTAGGAGAATCTTGTGGGGTTGGATTAACGAATCGTTGTCTGAAGTCGATTTTGTCAAACAAGGATGGTCAGGAGTTCAGGTAATTCTTATTGTGGATAACGTATCCTAAGAATAATTGACAAGCTCAATCAGGAATTAACTCAACTCAATCATTTGAATGAGAAGTGCTCATAATAGATTTGGTTTTGCAGGCAATTCCAAGGACTCTTTGGCTGGATAAATCAGGAAAGCAATTGGTGCAATGGCCAATTGTAGAGATTGAAACGTTGCGCACAAACCGAGTTGACTCGCCAAGCACTGAGCTTAAGGGAGGATCAGTACTTGAAATTTCAGATGTCACAGCTGCACATGTGAGTTTATTTGGATATGATTGAGTAGTTTAATAATAAGAAAAAATTATTAAATGTCCTGAAATCATTGGTTCTGAGTCAATCACCATATGACACATCAATAAATGTGTCATATGGCGATTGATCAAGCTTTAATGAATGTCACATAGTAATTGATCCGACCAATAGTCCTGGAGCATCTATTAATTTCTCAATTACAAGAGTCCTAATATTTTTATGCTATGTACATTGGCAGGCAGATGTAGAAATATCATTTGGAGTATCAGAGTTTAAGCATGCAGATGCGCTGGACCCAAGTTGGACTAACCCACAACTCCTATGTAGCCAAAAGGGTGCATCAGCTAAAGGTGGGCTTGGACCATTTGGGTTGCTTGTTTTGGCTTCAAATTACTTGGAAGAATATACAGCAGTGTTTTTTAGAATCTTCCAAGGCCAAAATAAATATGTGGTGCTCATGTGTAGTGACCAAAGCAGGTCTCTCTCTCTCTCTCTCTCATGTCTTTACCTACTTTCAGAATTCTCTGTGTCTGTGTCTCTGTCTCTGTCTCCGTCTCTCTCTCTCATGTCTTTACCAACTTTTAACCTTCTTCATTTACAGGTCCTCACTCAATCAGAACCCTGACAAGACCACTTATGGAGCATTTCTGGATGTAGATCCTAGTCAAGAGCAATTATCACTAAGAAGCTTGGTAAGTTTTCTTTAATGTGCTCATCAGTTACAGCTGTTATAACATAATTAACATTTACCCATATTTAGTCATTGAAAGAGGTGAGGGTCCGAGTCCTAGAGCAGACATTTGTGGATGTGTGAGTTTTATCCCCAAAAGAGAAAAAAAAAATATTGTTAATTAGTGACAACAACTCTAAAGAACGGCAGTATTGTCTTTGAGAATAGTTTTTTATTTTTTTGAGAACTAAAAAACAAAATATTATAAAGTAAAAAATTAAAAAATCTGTTTAGTAGACAATTTTTAAAAACTGTTACGAAGTATACGAAAACTCAAGTTTAAAAAGTCAGAATTCAGAAAATTGTCTTTTATAATTATTTGAAAGTAAATTTTTTTTTTTTTTTCCTGAGTTAAAATTATTTTTAGAGAACTGCACTAAGTAGCTCAAAAAAATTTATTGTTGACATTTTCTGAAAATCTAGTACCAAAACAAATAATAATAATAAATAAAATCTATTTTCAGACATCATTCTTTTATGGTTCTTTTTAATTTTCTGTTCTTTGAGAATTGTTTTAAGTAAAGAAACTAAAGTAAACAGGCCTAAATTGCTCTAAAATTTTTGATCATTTTGATTTTGTTGCTTAATGACGTTGACTTTATATGGAGTTTAGTCATCCTAACATGCGAATTTGTTCGTGGAAACTAATGGCGAAATAGTAATAGATATCACCTAAAGGTAATATATAGCCAATATAGATGGTGATTGAAATCTAAGACCTAGGTTTTCTTCCCCTTAAATGGCTTCAAATAAGTATTCATCTAATACACAAACCTTTTGCTAAAAATAAATGCTTTTAACCATCACAATCTTGGCACAATCAATTTTAATATTGGTTGGAACCATCTAGCATTGTAACCGATTGATATTTTCTCATATTTTAAAATAAAAAATCGAAGATTTAAATTTGTGTAGAAGTGAAAGTCAGTGGATAAAATAAATAAATACATTAACTTATGTGTTCTAAAACACTTGATATCCATGTCTTTATGCAGATAGATCACTCTATAGTGGAGAGCTTTGGTGGGGATGGAAAGGTGTGCATCACTTCTAGGGTTTATCCCACATTGGCTATTGAAGATGGGGCCCACTTATATGCCTTCAATAATGGAACTGAGGGTGTAACAATCTCAAAATTGAGTGCTTGGAGCATGAAGAAAGCTCAAATCAGCTGAAAAAAATTAAAAAAGAAAAGAGGAAGTGACCTATTTTATGGGGTTGGGATTGAGAGAATTTTTACCATCTATCATCTTACTAGTTATTATGATGACCTTATTATGATATAAATAAACAGTAAGTCACTAAGTACGTGCCATAATACGCTATTGTTATGAAATAACATGTCATCCATTTAAGTGTAGCATATTATGATTGGAGTAAATTACTTCTTGTTGAGAGACTTTGTGTGATACAGAAATAGAAACAATGACTAAATAATTTAAACCCTAATTTTTTTTTTTTTTTCCTTCCGCCCAATGCAAAAGGATGAAATAATGAAGAGAAAGGTAGCAGGAATGATCAAAGAGAGATAATTAGCACGAGTGATCTCCTTCACAGACTCGGAAATTTTTGGTTCCATTTTCACGTGGCGACAAAAACACTTAATATATGTGATTTGGGGGTGATTGCAACTCGAGCAAACGTTTTGAAACTGCATAATAACCACTTTTTAATGTATGCTTGCAAAGTTAATATTGGTTATATATTGGGGGAATTAAGAGAAACACTTACGGATCGAAGACGACGAGAAGAGAAATAATATTTATTCCATAGAAACCATAACACTACAACATTACTTCTTATATGTGTATAAAATAACATACTGACATCACAAAGGAAAGCATCTAAAATCTCTTCAACCTGCAACAGACAGTCATCACATATATTTCACTATCATCGTCAATTTCTACACTCATACCACTTCGGAGCTTCAACTTTTCACCACCTCAGCTTTGCAGGGAAGTACTGCAACAACAATGAATAGAGAGAGGGATATGAAAGCACAATTACCATAATCGTGAATATATGAACATGATAAAAATAAAAAAAATAAAAAAAATTTGGGTGGTCAAGCATGAGAATCTGTATTTATATACGAGGATAATCCATTTTTGACAATAATGCTAAATATTTTTTCACCCTGATTAATGGGATAACTAACACAAAGTAATAAATAGTTTATGTGACATTGTAAGTGACAACTTTTTTTGGATACTATTTGCTATAAAAATAATGAAATAGAAGTATTTACCAAAAGGTTGGGGAAATAATTCAAGAATTTGGTCACAATGGGTGCTAACCTTTTGAATGAGAGAGAGATAGTATGGCTTGACTTCTTCGACATCAATTCGAACTTTGCTCTTGCTGTATAGGTCATACTTGCTGCATGTACATGCATTAAAGAGAAAAGAGAGAATTTTTTTTTATAATAAGCAAACATATTAAGTAATAAATTATATTGTTAGGAATTTTTAGAATAAATTAAAAAGAGAGATGAGCAGTCCCACTTAAATATTTGGAGCCACTTAAGATTCTCAACATCTTCCTCATTCATCAAGTGCTTATATGCTCCTGCCCTATGTAAACCTGCAAGTTGATCAATTCATCATTTTAAATCAAAATGAATATAACTATTTCTCCCTTTACATAACTCTGTGTGTGTGTGTGTGTGTGTGTGTGTGTGTGTGTGTGTGTGTGTGTATATTTAATTACCATAAAAAGAATGGTATCTGATGATGAAAAGAGCAGCTGATGGAAGAGCAGTTTTGTTCTCCTTGGCCACCTGAAAATGATCCAAGAAAATTAGAACTAATTACTATTGCATTCTTCCAACAATAACATGACTTAATTCCTTTAAATTGATATATATATAAGTGGAAACAATTACCAAATACATGTAGTCATCGTGCCCCCATGACATCAGGACGTTGTTTAGTCCACAGCCTTCTGAATAAATTCCATATTTAGTGTTGTATGCACCATTTTTATAGTCTGGATTTTCCTTAAAATACTGTCACAACATCAACAATTTGTTTCCATCAGAAACTCTCTCTCTATATATGTATATATGTATATATATGTATCGGTTTGAACAGTGAGAGTTATAAGAAAAAATGACCTTGTGATGAACAATTGATTCGTCAAAGGCACAGCCAAGAGGGAATGTGTCACCTGAATTAATATATATGGAGCTTGATCATTAACTTGTTATGACAAATAATTCAAACAAATGGATTAATGAGCATTAATTGTTTTAATTAAAGTATTATAATGAAACTTGATACTTGCCTACAACAGCCCATTGAGGAAGCTCCCCGAAGCTAGGAAGAAGAAGAACCTTCCCAAGATCTAAATTCCATAAATAAATAAAGTTAACTAATTAAATCATTTTAATTTCATAAATAATATAACCAACATGAAACACATGCATGTCCAAGAGTAAGAAGAGGAAATAATTAACCATGGATAAGGCCAGTCAAGTGGAGCCAATCTTCATTGGGATAGTCTCTTCTGATGGCTTCAGCTGTCTGCAACAAGTGCTCAATTTGTGGCTCATCCAAGTCTGGATCACTCTCGTCCACGACGTTGTTTAAAAGCTCACAGCATTCCCATATGCTCATCTCCACCTTGTCCAATTTCCCATACTCTTCTCTCATCCTTTTCACCTGCAATTAATTAGTATTATCTTTCGTAAGAGTTGTGCTCAGACTGTCAAACTCTAAACATTTTTTCATAATTAATACACACACACACACACACACAAAAAGGTGGCCAAAGAACTAAATAAATCATGGATTAATTTTATAATATCTAACTGCTTACAAAGTCGTAAGTTTGGTTAATGTGATTGGTTCTGTAGAAATTCTCCACGCCTTGTTGCCTTTCACTTTCAGCATCATAATCCCTGTTTGCATTCACAAATTTAATTAGATTTACTTCAAAGGATACAAAATAAGAAGTTAAAAAGGACAACATATATATATATATATATATATATATATATATATATATATATATATTGTTGTTGCTGTGTTTTTGAAACATGATGTGGCCCAGGCCCAAATCCTAAAATGGGTCAGAGCCCAGCAGGCTTTGTGGATGCGATGAAGTTAACCTAACAAATGGAAACTGAGCTCTGGCTAGTTTCAGCCTTCCCTTTAATATGGAAATGGGCTCAACCAAAAAAAGTCATTATCTTTGAACAGTAGGATTGTCATGGGTTTGATATGTTACATTTAAGTGCTGTCACACATAACATTTTCAAGCAATATTTGTTTGTTTTGGGAATCAATAATTAACAGCATATACTATCATGGTTTATAGTATTGGTCACAATCGCACTGTAATACATACTCAGTTAAAATCAATTTACACGAACCGATACGAATTGCATTTCAAATTTAAAAAAAGATCACGTATAAATAAATACTTCAAACCATGTATATCATATCTCATTCCAAAAACAAATATATAATTAAATATATCCTCTCTTTTAGTAGTACTATGGTACTCATTATTTATTTTTTGGTAAGTAATATTATAGTATTAAACAAACAAAGTTACATGAATATCATTGAGATCCATCTGATCTAGAATTTTCGTGAAATTTTTTTATTTTAGAATTTCCCATATCGATCATGATAAAATAAATTGTGTATAATATATATAAAAGCAAGCAGCAAATTAAACCTAAAGTTGTGGCCAAATGAATTGGATTGGGGCATCATAAATCCACCATCCAACGCCAATTCATTTTCATTGAGGGTGATCTTCTTCTCCACGGTCTCAATTCCTGCAGTTTATAAAGTAAGAAAAAAAAAAAAAATTAATTGCTTATTATATTAACTAACTAATTTCAATAAATCAAAATTTAAAAATCTCCCAAAATTCTGAAAGACGTGGGCATATATAATTATCATCTGTCTTCGAATCAAAAATGGTGAATATTAAAGCTCAACTAATGTGCATCTCTGATCTCTGTGTGTGCAGGGTGTGTGTTTATATATATATATGTATAATAAAATTCAATCTGAAAATAATTTTTTTTTAAGATCTATTTGAATGATTATGTGGATAACTCTTTTTGTGTGTGTGGATAAATTCCCATTTTAGTGCTAACAATGATGATCAAAAATAGAAACCCAAATAAAAAAGAAAAAGAAAAAAGAAAAAAAGAATTACCACACTCAGGTTGATCAACAAGAATAGTCATCCTGAATCAAAATTGAAGCTCAGAATCTCAACAGAAAAAGGAAAAGATAATAAGAAAATGTTAGATGAGGATGAGTTGTTGAGCGGTGGCATTGTAGGTTTGATAAAAGAGTGTTATTTATATTTGGCCAAAGAGTCCTTCCCTGAGAATTCGGAAGCATTAAAGTCCTTCCATGAAAATAAGTTTCAGACCCTGGCTTCTAAAATTTATCTTGGAACTTAGATACACAGTCACATACACGTATAAATTAAACCATAATTCGTGTGTGCATGGAATATATATATATATATAGTAATAATGGTGGCCAGTTGGAAACAGAAGGCTGAGTAAGTGACGCAAGTTGTTGGCAACAAATCAAAGATTAAATCAAAGATTTAAAGTGATAAGTTGGTCATAACACGGATATTTATCAATATAGGTCCCACTGAACTTATCATGGATGACTCAGCTATGGGTTGGTATGCATATCCGGTGGGTCGCACTGACGTGGCATCCAGTCAACATAGTGTATGACGTGGGTGATTTGTAGAATTAGGCAGTCAATCTTTTCACAATCGTTTGGTTAAATTGCCAACACTTGGTCATTTCACAGATAGGGGCACCTAACGTGTCAAAATTCAAGTTTAAGGTACTGATCAAATACAGTATGTTTTATGTTTATAATACAGAGTTTTGATGACATTGAAAAATAGTAACAGTTCTTGAAAAAATATATATATAGAAATAGTCAAAACGTAAGTTTGTACGTAGTACATTTAGTTTATAGCAATTATAGTTGACACGTGCCAAGATTATAAGCTCTTCTAGATATGTGATGTTTTCATAAGTTAAAAGGCCTTGGAGTCGATCAAGAGCATCTCCGTTGTTGTTGGGTTATTTATTTTTAATTTCAATTTTTTATTTTTTGTATAAAAATAAATTTTTCAATAACAAATAATCAGTATCATATTTGGCCTCACATAATTTTTACAAATTTATTTAATATAGGTTGATTCATTAAATATAATAATGTGACGGAATAAAAAAATTGTATAAAATATACAAAATTTTATAAATATGTTAATTTATCTTAACAGATTATTGGAGATAAAAAAAATTACACATCATTTACACAAATTAAAGAGTGTTTTAACAAGATTGTTGGAGATAAAAAAAAAATTACATATTATTTATACAAAAAGAGTATTTTAACAAGACGACAAGATATGTTCTAAAAAATCTTGAAATGAAATTGAAAATTAGGATTTATAAAAAAGTAGAAAGATGGGAAGTATTGTATTGAATAGGAATTATGGGAATTTGGAAAGCAAGCTCATATGATTACTTTTGTAATGAGTTACTTTTTTTTTTTTTTTTTTTAAATGAAGAGTAACAAAAACAAATAACATTGATCATTTTTTTAATGACGTGGACCATTCTTAATCACGCCACAAAAAAATAAAGAGTAACAAAAACAAATAACATTGATATTTTTTTAATGGCGTGGATCACTCTTAATCACCCAAAACTATAATTTTAATATGAATTTGTTGCTTTAGAGAGAGTCAAGCACAAGACCTCTTATATGTAAGTGGAGTTAGCCCATACAAACTAGGTGTCTAATGATTTTGCACCCCTATATGGTCATATGATTCAACAGTAACAACGCGTATTTTCTATTGAACAATTTTTGTTTTATTATATTTAATAAAAAACTGTACAAGCTATCTTCCATTTCAAAGTATTAACAGGCTCTCTAATTAAGTCCAATGACGATGAAAAGGCCGCCAGCGTACGAACTCCTATTTCATGGAATCGGTCCGATTTCGATTAGGCTTTATGGACATTGCCGAAATTAATGCAAGTGGAGGTGTACGGAATCAAATGCTTTTCGTAGTAGAATGGTTAACTATTTCAATCGACCATATTGAAATTTAGAGAGAGAAAAATAGAGAGAGAATATAACTTTATTTAATTTTAAATTTGATCTCACGATTTTAAGCAATGATCTTAATTTAAGAAAAGTTTCAACACAGAGACAAAATATACAAACACATATATGGATATGTGTAGATATATATTTATAGTGGGAGAGGGACACTTCTTTTCTTCTTCTATTAACGTAATGAGAGTTGGTGTGAGAGAATAAAGGGATGAATTTTTATTATCTGCAGACTGCAATCATTCTTTTTTTTTTTTTTTTTAAAAAAAAAAATTTTAACAAATGTTGAAATTTTATTGGACTACCTCAGCAGAAGAAATTTTTTTTAATGCGATCTAAGGCAAGCACTATTCTTTCGAAAATACTAGAATTGTGAGAATGGTTAATTAATGGGTAATAAGTGTAAATTGTGTAATAATTGTACGTTGAATTACAGACCGTGTAAAAGCAATGGGTCTCCCATGGGTCAATTCTCCACAGCTAATAGGAATGGGTCATGGGCTTGGAAAGGTTGCGAAGGCTACTCATATAATCCCAAGCCCAAGTACACTGGTTCAGCTTCCCACTTTTGTAATGGTACATCAAACTAACTTTTTTATTTTTTTTATTTTTTGGGTTGAGTTGAGGGTTTGTGATATTTTGCTAAAAAGTGACCAAGGATATGTTTAGTTGAATTTTTTATTTTTATTTTTTTTGTTTTTGAGAACTAAACATTAGAAAATTGTACAAAAACATACTTTGACAGTTTATAAGAGATGCTTTTTTTTTAATTATTTTTTTTTTCAGTTAAAATAAAGTTTATTTTTAGATAATTATTTTTTTATAGTTCAATGAACATGGATTTTTTATTTTTTAATTTTTAGTTAGTTTATCCCTCTCACTTGAAAGACGTATATGTAATAAACTTTATTCTTTTGTTGCTCACTAACAAACTGGAGGAACTTAATTATGCTGAATACAACGAAGGAAATATTTTACATATAAACCATAACTATGATATTACTTCATAAAAGGAAATGCAACTAAATCTTAAGTCTCGGAGGATCATATAATCTACTAATTAATTTGGTCTAACGTAACCAATCATCACCAATTAATTCACCATGTCCTTCTTCACCACCTTAGCTTTGCAGGGAGGAAGTACTGCAACAACAAATATTCATTCTCTCAGTGATTGAAGACCATATACCATAAAAATGAGGTGTACAATAAAGGACCATAACCATATATAATCATGAAAATATTGAAAAGGTAATTGGCATGAGACTGTCCTTTTGGATGAGTCCCCGTTGATTGATTTTTTTTTTTTTTTTGAATGAAGGGCGTTTACGAAAATTAGTCTCACCCAAAAATATAACCAAGAGACCAAATAGGGGTACAATAATTGATTTACCGAATATAATGAAGGTGTCACATAACTCACATCATCCATTGTAATAATTGAAGAATTGAATCCTCACCTTTTCTATGAGAGAGAGATAGTATGGCTTCACTTTTCCCACATCAATTCGAACCCTGCTCTTGCTGTATAGGTCATATTTGCTGCACATGAAAGGATAAAAAGAAAAGAACAAAAAAAATAGGGAGAAAAATAGTGTAAAATGTGTAGTAGTAAGTAAAATACAATAATGGTATCTATATATATTAAGCATTATTTTTCATAGAATAAATCAAATGAATGAATAATCATACTTAAATATTTGGAGCCATTTCAGATTCTCAAAATCTTCCTCATTCATTAAGTGCTTATAAGCTCCTGTTTTATGTAAAGCTGCAAGATGAATTAATTCCATCAAAATCAAACTTATTAAATAAATAGCTTCATAGTCTGTAATTTGACAACTTTATTGAATCTCTCTCTTTTTCATAATTTGACATACCATAAAAGGAATGGTACCGAATTATGAAAAGTGCTGCTGATGGTAGACTTGTTTTGTTCTCCTTGGCCACCTCAAAAATGAATCACAATAATTAGAACTAATCGTTACTTTTTTTCTACAATAATATCATTTTATTTTAATTATGCTCTGTATAGTACCAAAGCAATGTAGAACGAATGGAACAGGAATTCTAAGGAAAAGAATAAACGTTTCTCTGCTTTTGTATAATTTTATTGGAAGAAAATGATGAAGAAAGAACTGAAGATTGTTACGAATATAGAAGAAAAATAGAACACGAGATATGAATATGAAAATGAGGGTAGAAATAATTCTCTTCTTCTTGGTACGTTCTTGTCATCACAATACATGCATATTTATAGACAGTTTTTCACCGTCGCTTAATTATTCTTTTACCTTATTTCTGATTACAATACACATCTATTCACCCGAGTCTTACTTTTCCTATCTTCTCAAATACACAATCTCATATATCTTTATTTACAACAACGATTCTTCTATTTTATTTTATTTTGTAGTGTGAAAATAAATATAAGAGGTTGGAAATAAGTACAGTACCATATACAAGTAGTCATCATGCCCCCAGGACATCATCACATTGCTGAGTCCACAGCCTTTGGAGTAAACTCCATATTTAGTGTTGTAAGCAGGATTGTTGTAGTCTGGATTTTCCTTAAAATACTGTAGCAACAACCCCAAAGTGATTAAGAAATTTTCAATATATATATATATATGTCCACACATCAATATAATAAGTTCATTATTCTTTTATCATGTGTTTTGATGGTTGTAAGTGTGATATTCGTAAGAACAAATTAAAGACCTTGTGATGAACAATTGATTCATGGAAAGCACAACCAACAGGGAATGTGTCACCTGCAATATCGATCCTTGTCATTAATTTTGTATGAGAAAAATGAAGAAAATTGAGTAGCTATTATATATATATACATGAAATTAGATGATAACTTACCTACAACAGCCCATTGAGGAAGCTCTCCAAAGCTAGGATGAAGAAGAACCTTCCCAAGATCTATAACCCATAAAACCAGACTTAAAATCACTCCATTTAGTCCTTTATATATATATATATATATAAGAGAATGAGATAATTAACCGTGGATAAGGGCAGTCAAGTGCAGCCAGTCCTGATTGGGATAGTCTCTTCTGATGGCTTCCGCTGTCTGCAACAAGTGCTCAGTCTGAGGGTCATCCAAGTCGGGATCACTCTCGTCCACGACGTCGTTTAGAAGTTCACTGCATTCCCATATGCTCATCTCCACCTTGTCCAATTTTCCATACTCTTCTCTCATCTTCTTCACCTATATACAAATTATTATTACTATTAATTAAAAATCATGAATGAATTTGAAAATGTCAAAATAAAATTTGATGGCAGCTTGCTTACAAAGTCATAAGTTTGGTGAATGTGATTGATGCCATAAAAATTCTCTACACCCTGTTGCCTCTCACTTTCTGCATCATAATCCCTGTTTTGAATTTACAAGGTTAAATCAATTAATTATAGCTCCACTACAAATTAATTCACATGTACCACGAGTTTGGGAAGCATGAAATGGTACGAGGCAAGTCTACCCAAGTTCTAAGGAGCTGCTGGGTTTTATAACTTTTATTGGATGAGGGTGGTCCACATGTTAATCTGGGCTTAGTCAGCTCCTCTTCTGGATTGGATCAGCTTAAACTAACCAATAGCTTGGGCCTTGCCATATATATATATATATATATATATATATATATATATATGTTTATTTGTGATGGAACAAAGGGCAGAACCTAAAGTTGTGGCCAAATGAATTGGTCTGAGGCATCATAAATCCACCGTGGAACACCAATTCATTTTCGATCCTGTTGGGGAATTTCTGATCCTCAGTCTCTATTCCTGTAAATAAAGAAGACATTAAATTATTTTTCTATAACAGTTAGCCAATCAGAATTTATCCACCGCTTTTAGTTTTGTTTTCTTATTTACAACTTTTGTTATTATTAAGTTGTAAACAAAATCGTAAAATTTAATTACCAAAAAAAACGCATAAAATTTTATTTAAATGAAAAAAATGAATTAGAGAATATGACAAGATAATAATACGTCTTATTTGGATCCAATTAGCAATAAAAAATAAAGTACTTCCATGTTACATTTCTTTATTCTTTTGTTTCTATTTTCTTCAATTTGATACTGTAAATGAATCAAGTTGAGTTAAATTTGATATGTATTTAAATATATATATATATATATATAGAACGAATTGAGTTTGATTTGACGTTGTTAAAGGGCCCGTTTGTTTAATCGATAAAATGTTAATTAAAACTGAGAGAATTATGTATGCTTGAATAATAAATATGGGTTACCGAACCAAAAAAATGGGTGACATTCTAAATAGTGCTTGTGTAGCACCTTCTTATCCAATCTTAAACCTTTCAAAACGAAGAATTCGATATAATGTTCAACTTGTCTGCTCGTGAATACATATGAACTCATGGGTAAGATAAAATGTTCCATTATATAGGTTTTATTTAATAATTTTGGTGTATTTCCTAGTGATTACTTTCTAACTATATGTAGATTACTTCCAAACCTAAAGGAATTAAGGAAAAACTCACTCCCGTAAGTTGAAGTGCTTAAGCAAGCAACCAGCTTCAATCGCTGCGAGGAAGTCGAGCCCCTCCATGAACTCAGGCTGGCCACCGGCACAGAGCACGGTGCTTCTGTGTTCACCGCCGGTACATGGAAGGACTTCGAGGCGACAGGGGCGCTCCATGCCATTCTCTCTCTCTCTCTCTCTCTAAATCAGTTTTATGTTACGTCGAACTTGTTGAGTTTTGGCGTTTGTTCCACCTCTCTCTACTGGGCTATGCTTTAAAACTGTGCGGGCATTGTAGTTGAGGTAGTTGCCAGCATCCAATGTGGTCCATATCGCATACAGATCGTACCATTCATATGAGACCTTTACATATATGCATCATTTATAAACAAAAAAATAAAAGGTGATATAATCATGCTCATGTTGCAAGATATTAGGTTGACGTATTTGCCCTTGATTAAGCTCAAGTAAATGTGTCAACACGATCAAAGTAGCTTTTTCATTCTCAAACAGTAGTCATACCAGTTAAACTAAGTAAATAGATTACATTCTATCACAACTGAGATTACAAAGACAAACGACAAGACTCTGAAAAGGTGAGAGATTAGTTCAAATTTTCCACAAGGGCTTCTTTCTTCTGTGAATGAATCTCTATCTTGGGAGAAGTTATGGCTTTCTACATTGTCTTGAATTCTTGGAAGGAGAAACAGATGGACTCAGATTTTCATTCTCTTGGATGGCCCTTGGTCAATGATTGGATCAACTGGAGGAGGTTGGGAATCTGCTCCTCCTTGCGGGGCTTCCGGACCTTTCTCTCCTTCTGCAGCTGAAGGGGGAGCATAGCCTTCGGGAAAAGGCGGTGGGGGAGGCGCTGGTGGTAGCTGCAAAAATAGAAGTACAAGTAATAAGCTTATAGTTCCTCAGAAAATAATAAAAGCAAATTTCATCCATTTTTTTCTTAGTTCTACAACCAAAAAATTATGATCTATATAGTATTAGCAAAATTCAACGCCTGAAATCTGAAACTAGAGCTATACCTGTTTACATTACAAAAGTACATAAAGACTGCTACAGAGCCTTGGTGTAACACTAACACTACCATGCACATATGATGTGGCATTACTTTAGTTCTAGTAAAATAACGAGAAAAATTCTCACTAAGCACAGAGCCTTGAATATTGAGTTTACAATCAGGACTATATTCACGATGAGCACAGAGCCTTGATTAGCCGTACATGTGCATATAGTGGCATTGTCTATACTTCCAAATATGATTACACTTTGCTAAAAAATTAACCACGAAGAAAAAGGTTTCACAAAGAAAAATCAATGACTCAATGTATTCAAGATGAACAAAATTTCTTTATATTTAGTATTTACAGTTTAAAGTAATTCCAGACAATTGCAGGGCCTTTGCATAACATGTCATGTGCAAGCGATGTGGCATTATTTCTAATTCCAAATGCAACTGTAGCTTCTAAAAATTCAAGTTACTTGAGAAGAAAAAGTTTCATAAAGGATTTAATGTATTCAAGAAGAACAGAACATACTCTTACAGTGAGTTTACAGGCAGAGGTACCATCAAGATCATTGCAGAGCCTCAGCAAAACATTACATGCGCATATGATGGTGGCATTATACAAATTTCAGAATGCGACAATAGTGGCTAAAGTTCAAGTATTAAAGAAAAATGTGCACTCAAGGAAAACAAAATTTCCTCTAATATTGAGATTATTATTATCTTGCTGCTCAATTCTAAGGATCAATAGCTGTAATGTCGCACGACTAACTCCATCATGATGGCTATTGTTGCAATTTATCTGCAGGCATCAAAATCCAGCAAATGATAAAAATTTTGCCAAGACATTTTAAAGTTACCTTGCGTTGTAATGATGCAAGGATGTGATCTATTCGCTTAACGTCCTTAAAGTTAATCGTCTCTTTAACAACCTTTGATTCAAAAGCTGCACTCTCGTTTTCAGCATCTGCATCACAAATAAAATAGGGTTTGACAAAAATCAACTGAACAAGCCTTTCTGTCAACTACTTGTCCTTAACTAAATGCAAGGCAATCATGTCAGTTCAATTAAAATATTTAAGGTTAACAATGCAGCAAATAAAACTATCGCACACAAGAAATAGTATGGGATGAAAATTGTGTGGTTATTATTGTAAATTTGTAATTGCAAAGGCAACTGATACTTGTTGAGGTGCCAACTACACAAGCATAAATAATTTGGATATAGAATTTCAATCTGATGTACTCCTAACAAGGACCAGAATTGTTAAGTTGCAATTCTGTTTTATTTTATTTTATTTTTTTGTTGTTGTTGTTGTTGTTATTGTTATTGCTGCTGCTGCTATGAGCAAGTGTGAAAGTTGTACTTAACCAAGAAAGTTGTTCAACAAGATTAATATGAAGTATGCATGAATGGACTATCTCATATCAACATATAAGAATTTTGAACTCTCAAGAGATATTAGGAATGGCGATTAAAATAATCCCCAGAGTGTCAAAAATATGACTCATACTACATATCTGAGCGTATTTGAGCTATTATATAAGAAAATAAACAAGCACCAGTAAAAAGAAATAGAAAAAAAATATAATTATATATATCATTCAGAGTAGTGATACTTGTTGGAGTGAATTACCTAACCAAATGTTTCTGATTGGTTATTTATGCACCAGACAAGTAAGTGGAGGGCTCCACTCCCTTATTTGTTGCATAAATGACAAATTAAAAGGTGGTCTGGCAATTCACTGCAACAAATAGGTGCAAGTATCATTTTCCTATCACTTATGCCTAAAAGAGAACCACCACAGGCAGGGCCCTAATCTAAGTAATTGATGGAGAAATTCCAAGTAAAGAAGAATCACCACCATATGCTCTCATGCGTGCCAGAGAGGATTAAACACAAGGTAGCCCCTTTTCAAATCTGTAGAGAGAAGCAACTAAACTCATTCCATTGCTACTGGAAACATAAGACTTATTTCCAGTGCAATTGAAACACAGTGAATTAATTCAAATTCCATTAAGACATCTGATGGGTATTAACAGAAATTCTATGCCAGTGTCCTGTAGGCTGCAGTAGGTATGTTCCCAAGAAAATATGTGAACATCATATCTATAAATCCAAACTAGGAGAAGATTTATGTACTCCAACCAACCAAACATAAAATTTACAAAACTAGCAATTTTTGTCAAAGTTCTACCACTACTGAAATTGTGAGTAGTTAGTTTATATGGTATAAATAATGTCTAATGTTGAAAACTAACTTGATTGCACTCGGAGAAACATAATAAACTTTGCTACTTTGATTACAATGTTTTATAATTTTATTTATTAAAGAATTTTTATAGTTTGAATTCACTGCAAAGTAATTACATTTACTCAGCAATAGAATATCAGTATTCTTCCACACGCCAAGAAGTTTAGCCATTAATGGAAAATTATCATCAAGAATAAAGGAGAAAAAAAAAAAAGCTCAGATACCATATCCAATCTTCTCCAACTTTGAGGATGCAAAGGTAAAAGCCTTTGATATATGATATAAAGCCCGTCCCTGCCACATGGGTACACAATAAGATAAATAGAGATTAATTTCTCAGGAACAACAACAATTGATATCTTAAAATGCAGTTTTTTTCAGAATTCTATCAAACTAATTTACATAGTAACCAATTTTTTGCAGCACCCAGCTTCTACAATTACAAATGCTGTTCTAAGATGAACTAAAAAGATAACAATCATACTAAAGCTTTGATACAGTGTAACAAAGGCATGAACTGGTCCAAGGCAAAATGTGCATTAAGACACTTCCCAAAGATGTTAACACCATAGGGATCAAATGATAGGCAATTGCTCTAAAAAGAGACAAAATGTCCGTTTTCATAAAACAATCTTAATGTGGACTTTAATGATAGGGTAAACAGAAAGGAAACCATGGCCTGTGGTGAACATTCTGGTGGTGCTTATTGTAACCACTAATACAAGTATTTACATATTATATATATATGTGCGTGTGCGTGTGTGTGTGTTTAGTAAATATATATGTATGGTTTTACTGAGAGGAAGAGACAGGATGGAGGAAAAGGGTCCAGGCACACCCAAAACCCAACTAAGAAAAAGAAACACAAAAAGATACAACCAAGGAGCATATAAACTGATAGAAGCGAACCAAAGAGCAAACCAGAAGTACAGGTAACCCTCCTTATCAACCTACACAAACAACTAACTTTTTAACCCTACTCCAAACAAGACAAGACATGATTCCCTAAGAATATCCTAGGTTTGCTTTGTTTCAAAATCTGCCCTGGGAAAAAAGCAGGAAAAAATTATGAAAGAAAATATTAGTGATGCCAGGAATACGCACAATACAAAATAAAGATGTGTGGTGCCAGTATTGTTCTTTAGAAGATCAAAATAGCCAGCACTGAGGAAGAAGTAAGCTTGTTGCAGTATGCTGAGCAAAAAAAATAAGCAACCTTGGTCAACACTTGCTTCACTTCCAGGCATGTGAGATAGCAAACACTAAATATAAAAGGAGCCATTGAAATGAGGGCAGACTTGATAAAAAAATAAATATAACCATGAAAGAGCCCATTGGACCGAAAACTACCAGCAATGACCCTCTTCTCCATTTCCATGTGGATCAAAGTTGATAGATCTGAGAGATCAAATAGAACCTCGAAGTTTTTATTAAATCCAGACCGAGAATCACAGGTGCTTTGTTATGTCCTATTGAGTGACCATGCAGCAACTTATGCCTTTGTACAAACAGTTTTAGCCCACAAAAAGGAAATTTAAACCTTGAGTTGACCATCTTCAGACCAAACTGCCTTTTGCAACAAAAACCAACCTACAAGTAGGACAAGAGTCCTTTAAGTCATCCCTACGAAATGCATTAGCCAGTGTATGTCCTTCCATGCAAGATTGGAGACATACTTAACCTTTGGAATCGTTTGGTACAAGATGGCTGCTCTAAGGCTTGAACACACCTTTTCACACTTATCAGCTCAAATATTTACCTTTGTACCAAGCAATGATCTCAGTTCTCCCACAGGAAAGAGAGAGAAAGAGCGGGAAAAAAATTAAATCAAAACTCCATCCAAAGCATCAGAAAGTCCATAGGTTCAAAGGATGACAACTGGACACATCCCACAGGAAAGAGTGAAAAAAAGAAGAAAAAAAATAATCAAAAATCAAAACTCTATCCAACGCATCAGAAAGTCCATAGGTTTCAAGGATGACAATTGGACACACTTATCCCCAACATAGAATGAAATCTCCAGAGCCAATTTTCTAGACAAGCCTCATAAGAAGATCAAATAGTTCATATTGAAATTTTAATCACCATTGGGGGAAAAAGAAAAAAACATATCGCACTTATCAAGAAGAATTCTTAAGTCTGCTCCCTCCTTTCTAAGGAGTTTTTTGAGAGTTTCTGTAGAAGTGCAGCCACATGAATAGATGCAGAATAGAGAGAGAAAATAGGTACAGACATCAAATATATGCGTGCTAACAATAACTTCTATCATTGAATCTTGATCAAACTACACTAACTAAAGTACACTTCTATCAATGCCACCATTTAATCAAATATGTGCTAACAATAACCTTGTAGACCCAACTAAATGTGTGCTATTGTCATCGCCAAAAATCAAATATATGAATTATGAAAAAAAAAAAATCAAATATACCATGTATCTTAATGTTGAGAAGAATTATTTCAAGATGCACATGTATGATATAAACCCTTGCAATTCAAGGAAAAATAAACCGGGAAGAAGGGCATGAAAGAACTTACAACTCGAGAAGCAAAGACATTGCCAAGCTGAGGTGCTTGGTATATTGAACCATCCAAGACATAATAAGTTAGCATTGGTGTGACTTTTTCAGGACCATCCCTCTTTTGCTTACGGAAGACAAAGAGGTGGGGCTCCATAACTTCACTCAGCATGTATTCAGTGCCTGTCATTTTCCTAAAACAAAATAATCATCATCCTTTGACCATTGTTGGGAGCTGGCAACAGAAATCTATCAAATTTGAGAGTCTTCAGTTAAAAAACAATATTTACATTGTCTCGTAAGAGACCTGACCAATTTCTTAGTAGAAAATGCAATTCAATCTTGCCAATATCATAAAAAGTGTATCAGCAATCAAACTGTTTTCAAACAAGTTTCAAATATGAGATGGCACAAGAACTTATATACGTGCAATTAGCATCACCAAAATGATCCTATTTTCAAGAGAAGAATAAAACAAGGATACAGTCATTTAACTCAAATTCATTCTACATATCAGAAAACAAGAATATCCTTTTCTTTTACTTCCTTTAGCTGCTGAGTCACTAAACCGTTCTGACACTGGTTCTAAAATTTAATTCAGAATCGACAAAACTGAATCAGTCTCTTCGTCTCATGAGATCATATCTCTAAACCTTTTCACCAAACCCCATTTTTTCTTTAAATCCAAGGCATTAGTTTTTTCCCCTTTCATTGTTTCACGTTAATAAGCCGTAAGGAGCATCCAGAATCACTTGAATTGCCAATAATATGAAAATTTGATAATTTTGAGCTGATAATACTTTCTTTTATCACATAAATCAAGTTGAGTGTTTTCATAAAAGACATATCCAGAGGCGAATTGTTAACATTCTTTTACCATTGTCTTTCATATTTACCAACAAAACCAACGCAAAAATTACACAGCGTGTGAATTGAATAATCGAATTAATTCATGGTTGAGACAAATTGCAATTAATTTATATCAAACGAGACTCTTGCAAATTTAAAATACTTGGTCACTCTATTAAAACTTAATTTTAATCTGGCTAGGAATTTCAAGAGTTTGAAACAGAAGAACAGTAGTTCATCCAACACTCCCCAAGTAGACATTATAGATTAACCCAAAAAAACTCGAACACGCACAATACATATAGATCACACACATAAATAGGTAGAGGATCTTACGAGAGCTGGGAGATGTCGAGAGGGTGAACGGAGCGCATGCGGAGCTGTTCGTTATTGCAGGTCCAGTCATAGAAAGGAGAGAGAGCAAAGTAATCGAAGACTAGGTTTCGGTCCAGAGGATAAGTGTTCAGCCAAAGTTGATCCCTGAAGCATATTCCGGTCATGTCCGTCCCCGGCGGCGGGGGAGCCGCCAGCTGATTACCGTCGAAGTTGGGGTTTCCGGCAGCGGGGTTGGGCGGGGGCATTGGCGTCGTCGCCATCGTTTCCGTTCTTTGCAGCTTCGATCAAATGCCCCTCCAATTGATCCCACTTCAAGGTTCAACCTTATCGATAAAAAGTTAAAACCCAATCTTGGACTCCAAATAACAATTTTTAAGTTTAGGCTAGGCTCGGTTTGGGTAATGAAGTTAGGCTTGTACGAGTTTAATTACACTCAAGCTAATGGGTAAAGGAAAAATAAATAGTAGCAATACACTAGGTATTGGGAAACATGAATTGCTGCCTTAAAATTAAATTTTGAGTACGTTGACTTTCAATTTGAATATTTAAATATACATTAAAAAATAAATAAATAAAAAATACTAGCGAGAACCTAAATATTCTTTTTTTATATAAAATAAACCCCTCAATTAATCCAGCTGTTATTTTTTATTTTTTATTTTGTAAAAAATACCCCCATCAATCAAGTTAAGGGGAGTTTTCAAATTTAGCTAAAAGTTTTTTTCTTCCTTTATCAAATAATAATATTTCAACTTATATTTATTTGTTATATGCGTCAATGTACTTTTTATTAAAAAAAAAGTATAAAAATATTTTAAAAAATAAAATTTAAAGTTTTGAGTGCAATTATATCATTACATTTTATGTTTTATATAATGCGTACATATAATAAGTATCTGAGATGGACATTAGATCAAAAAATTAGATCGCCAAAAAAGAATTTTAATTACAAAAAGTAATTGAATGGCATAAAATAATAAGCTTTTCTCTATTTTTAGGGGAGAAAAAGGAAAAAAGAATATTACAGATTTAACTATGCTAGACATATGCTAAAGAAATAGCATGTAGTTGCACTCATAACTATGAATTTTATTATTATATTTTATTTTTTAAATATTTTTCTTTAATTAAAATTATGGTGATACATATAACATAAAATATAAGTTCAAATATTATTATTTTAAAGAGAGAAAAAATAGATATTTTAGTTAAATTCACACAATTGGGCAAGCTGTATTAAACCCCTATTAACTTGGTTGGTGGTGGGGGTATTTTTGGTAAAAATTCAAAAAACAACCCCCTCGGTTAGTTGAGGGGGTTTTTTGCCCAAAAAAACAAAAAAAAAAACTAGTAAAAGGGAGTTTATTGCAAAACAGTGAAAGTTAAGGGGGGTTAACTGCACTTTACCCTAATTATTTTTTTTGTTTTTATTACCAATTAGAATTTTTTTTCATTTTTATTCAAAATAATTAGTCTTTTTTTTAAAAGAAAAATTTTATTCAAATTATTTCAGTAAAAATAAATTATAATATTTTATTAATTTTTTAGTATAATTTTAAGTTCTGCATATTAAAAATGATTGTCCTACAATCTAAAAAATATTTTTGTTGTGAACTTTAATAAATTAATTATAATTTAAATTTATAACATAATAATCATTAATTAACTAAAAAATAAAAAATAAATAAAAAACATAACTATTATAAAAACGATCCTTTGAGATTACATCAAATCACATGCTTATTATTGTTAATTATATTTTATTACCTACATTATTATTGTACATATTAATTATTATCATTACAATTCTTAAGAGTATATAGATTCAAAAAATAAGTTTTTGAAGTCTTATTTTTAAACCAAATTTCTAATTTAGATAGTAGGTGTATTATAAAGCGGATCCACATGCTAAAAAGAAAAAGAAAAAGAAAATTACTATCTTTACTTGATCATTTGACATTATAACTAAATTATTATATATATACATGATCATTTAGGGAGTGAGAACAAAATCAATTTTCCACATTTCAACCCGTCTCTATTCTCTCCCACTCTCTACATTTTCTTATTTGTATTATTTCATAAGTTTATGGGCACTACGCCCGCGGGAGCCAGAGAGACAAGCAGTTTATGGCCCCACACTTTGATTCCTAAATGCACTGCTGTTGTCAGGCGAAACGCAACAAGGAGATAACCCACTTCCATTATTTGCTTCTCTCTCTCGAAACAAATTAATGGCAGTACAAAATCATTATGTTGGCTAAGCAAAGATGCTACCTTGATCATTAGTATATTTTCTTATGTTGGCCCTGCTAGTTTGATCATGACTATATTTTCTTCTCTCGTTATCAGTTCTGAAATCATTACAATAACAACAACAACAATCAAATCCATTTTTCAATTACTTAAAATTGATTACATTAATTTTTTTTTTATTTTAATTATATTATATTTAAGACTATAATACCAGTCGAATCATATCAATTCTTCAAACAATTGAATTAGCAATACCTTGTTTATGTGGCAATTTTACAGGAAGGCAAACCATGTATAAATGCATAATGTGGTGATAGAATTAAGAGAGTGTTTGGCAACATCAATTGGACTGATGCCCACCCATGTATTAAGAAAACTTTATTAAGAGAACTGTACTAAGATAATAGAGACATTTTGCCATCCCCAATTAATTAATACAAGGCTCCTTTCATTATTAAATAAAATTTAAAATTTGGAAACTAATTCTGAAAGAGAAACAGCGTGTGACATTAGAAACTATATATTATGGAAGCGAAGAAATTCAATTGCTTAAAAGAAAAAAGAAAGTAACGTTACACCAGACATTGTAGTATGATCTTGTCCAACGGCTAGTTATTTGTTTCCTACTCGTATTTTCTAACAGCTACGGAGTATTTAAATTCTTTGGTTTTTTGGGCTCTTGTTTTTGTTTAGTAATTTTTATGGGCTTTTAACGCTTTGTCCTTATTTGATTTCCTTGGGCTTTCTTTCTGCCCTGACCCTCAATAAATTTTTATTTACCGATTTGGGTGCGAATTCGTACAAAATTCGCGAATATGTTTTTCTAATTCGCGATTTTCATACGACAGGGAAAACCACTCATTTTCCGCCATTTTCAAATAAATTATTGATAGATTTTGAGAAGTCGGAATAGGCTTGTGTGTTCTCTCTTGGCCACTTCTCGTTTTTGGGGAACTCATTATTACTGAAACAAGGAGCGGGTCTTTACCAACTTCAAAATCTTCTATTTTAGGGTCCGCAACTCCGTTCTGCCGTTCAGCAACTCATTTTTCATAGGCATTTTGGTGATATGTAACATCTATATTACTATATATGCATTTATTTTCTACATTATTACTCAATATATACATTAATTACTTAAATTTCAGTGTGCCTCAGCTGTATGGTGTTGCTATACTACCATATATATATATATATATATATAGAGTATTGATCTCTTGCTTCCCATGAAGCAAGAAAATTAATCCACACTTTTTATATAGACAATTAAATTAAATCTAACGGTCATTTTTCAAATTTAGCTATAACCTTTCTATTTAAGACAAAACTACTCTCATCCTATTTTTAGTTTCTATATTTAATTTTACCATTACCGTAACAATAAAAGGTAATTATCAAAATAAATAGAAACTTTTGAGAAAAAAAAATAATAATATCAATATATATTACTAAAAATTTGTTTTTATTTAGATATTTCTTTGGAAGAAAAATAATACCCGTATCTTTCAATTTTGCAACAATAGTATGATATTATAATTTTACAACATCATTATGATATTATAACTTTTTCCTAAGAAATATCTTGTTGTTCTCAGTATAAGCAAATATATTTCTTTAGTATAAGTAAATTTACAAACAAATATACTGTAATGTTGCGTTTTGAAATATCGAATTAATTAATTGGAATTGAAGAAAATTTCATTTAAAATTTAAATGAAAGTTCTTTCTATTTCAATTTTAAGTTGGGCATTTGGTAAAATTCATTATTGAATCTGTGAATTTGTGAGTTTGATTATTGAATCTGTGACTTTGTGAGTTCAAACACAATCCGATGTTCGAAATATGTACACCATGTCAATTATCATTGTCAAAGGTCCCTCTAATATATATATATATTTTTTCCTAAAAATCAGCAAGCAAGCCTATCGATAAAAAGTATTAAGGTGACTAACTTCATTTTTGTAAAGGGTCTAGAATTGCTTATGAGTTTGTATGCAAGAGGTGTACAAGCAAAACAAAGAAAAATAAAGGCTTGCTCTCAATTAACATTAATGCACTAAGATTTTGACTTTATGTATTGAATTAGTGATTTATAGAATTGGGCAAAGGAGGCTGGACAATAGTAATTAGAATAAGGAGCCACACAGAACTTAAAGATTTAAAGGGAAAACAAATTTAGTTTTTCAAAACAAAATAAATAAGGAAGAAGAAACATAAAAATTGTATAGTACCTTACTTAGCTTGATCCCTATCAATTCTCTTGTAATTCTTCTTTGTTTGACATAAATGTGTAAAATAGAGGTGAAGTGAGTCGCAAACATATTTTTTTCAAAAAACATCTAAATAAGACAATTTTTTAGTAAAATATACAAGTATTATTTTTTTTAAAAAAAAGGTTTCTATTTTTATTTTGGTGATTACCTTTTATGGTGAGAGTGGTTTTGTGTTAAAAGGAAAGATTATAGATGGATTTTAAAAGTTAACTTATTTATTACATATATCAATAATGGAATAAATAATCATGAATATATTTGCTTATGAATTTAAATAAATAAAAATATATAAAATATATATGTCATGACCTTATATAATTTTATTTAAACCTAATATATAAACGCTCTCAATACGTCCCTGCTCTCAAAAATCACTCCCGCCCTATGTGAATTAGGTCTACACACTAATATCGGCCATAAAGGGGCCTGTCATTTAACATAATTTTTTTGGTCCATTTAGTTGCATAAAGTATCATTTTTCGACCCAAAAATGGTTGAAATGTCTCTTACTAATTGTTTCGGAAATATTTGGATTAGTCGAGTGCAGAAATTTTTAGATTTGCTTTAGATGTATATGAATTATAATTAAATATTAAATATTTTACATTTTTTTTTTTTTGGACAAAAAATTAACACACCAACTCAATCATTATGGGTATTTAAACCTGGAATTACCGTTCGAAGTGTTTTACTTTCTTATCTGTAATTATCCCTTCATCTTTCAAGATGGTTTACATTAATATATACATTTATATTAGGTTTTGCACTGCCATTGCAAGATGATATTTGTAAATTTCATTTTCTCATATATATTAATATATATATTATAGGGTTAATTACAATAACACCCACCTGAAGTTTGTCATAATGACAATCATATACAAGTTGAGCCTATTTTGAACAATGA